TGAAGAGCGTCTGATTTGCTCTGTTTTGGATAAACGTTGCTCTCAGACATGGATGAGAATCAATTAATTTTCCATCTTGGATAGCTGGATGTATGGCTTTTTAAGTTTACTTTGAAGAGAGATGTTCTCTGTAATTATTTAGGGGCGTATTTAATGATCACTCTCAGTTGTAACGCGGAAATGTCTGTTTTGTGCGTGCGTGTTTGGAAATCTTTTCTAAAAGAGCGCTCACTCTGCTTTCATCAGAATAATTGAGATGGATTGCCTCATGAAAGCTTATCAACATTTTTTATTTAGCACTATTGCTTTGCTGAATTTTTCTGTCAATCTTTGGTTATTTTGAATGAAAGATCAACTAAATTGGGTTAAAAAAAGTAAAAGGATGTGGAACAATGCCACACCAACAATATTATGACAGCACTTTTCATGATGTTAGTGGAATGTCAGGCCACTTGTGATTGGTTTGCCCAAGTTCACTTAAAATCATTGTTTTATAGTGTCTATTGTTATTTAAATACAAAATTGTATAAAAATGCAATATCAGCCATTTATTGACCAATAAATAATTTTTAGCTTATTGATAACGGCCAGAATTTTAAAATCAGTGCATCCCTATAATTTAGCAGTTTTGCAAATGCTAGCATGGATGGTTTGCTTGACATTCACTGAAAAAAATAGTGTAGAAGCAATTTTAACTCAAAAATTGCTAGTAAATTTCCTAATTAATAACAAAGAAATGGCAAGTAACACATGGACTTAAATATGAAATTTTGATGTATAATGACTGAAATTGTGTTTTCTTGTAAAACATACTCCAATAATCTTTGTTTTATTTATACTTTCGAAAAACCATTTTTTTTACAGTGTGCAATCATCCTCAAAAAACTACTCCAGATTTTGATTGGCTTTTATGTCAAATTTGGGTCCTGAAGCAAAACTAAAGCCCCTCTGATGCATAATATGCCTTAAAACTTCTCTTCTAAACTTCAGCCACCTTTTCAGCTCTCCTCGCATGCTGTTTGTCTTCACACGAGACCCTGCAACTAAATTATTGAAATGGAGACAGCAAAGTTCATTTGTTAACTGTCTGCGCTTAAGCTAGCTAAACTTGGCTCTGCCTCTTTTATGTATAAACGGAGTCTCGACTGGGAGCCTCGGGCGAGATGTCAAGATGTGTTCTTAGGTTAAGTCAGGAGAGCTCATCATGATGAGACTGGACACACAGTGAGCCACCATGCCTGAATGGCAGAGCAAAAGCAGAACCTCATCAGATATGCCTGTCCATCATCGGCCTATCGACATCCACGCTGCCGTCCGTATGCCGCTGTCAAGGTCTAAATTATTCCTGCTGCGCGGCTCTCAGAAGCAGGCGTGTGAAAACGATATCCCTCGACCGGTCTTATGGAGTCATTAATCTAAATATTAAGTCAATAGGTCTGCCTTACTATTGCACCCCTAGCTGTTGTATTGCATGAGGATTAGTCGAGCGCACACCGAGCATCTCAGCCTGTTGATCCTCCTCCTGCGGTCTCAGTATTAGTCGAAATACCGATATGTTCCTCTGTCAGTATGACAAAAAGTGTTCCCTGAAGCCCACTGTAGATGAAATCCTTCTCAATAATGCATCAGGCCGAGAGCAGGAACCCATCATCAACCTGCAGAAGCTCCTCAGATCATCCAGAGCTTACGATGAAAATTTCATCCGGCCACTCGTGGGAACCTCCGTTTGATCCCTCTCAACGCCAGTTGGGTTCATACGAGCTGACTTGCGCTGTCGAGTACATGACTCCGTCTAGAGGTCAGGTTTTCAACAAACCAACAGATGTGAGCTTTGCATGCAAACTACATCTTTGACATTGACTAGCCAATGGAGTGCCTAAAAAATAGTTGAATAGTCTTAAGGCCCATTCACACCAAGATGAGAACTATCGCAATAATGATAAAGTTTTAAAAAACATTCTAGTTCTATGAGAACAGAGAAGTTCACGCTACAACTATATGATAATGGCATTGCGGAACAATATAATTGGAATCACTTTTAGATAAACTTTTTTTCTAGCTGATGAACGATAAAAACATTAAAAAGCTTGAGCATTTAATATGGCAGACAACAAAACTGCAGTGAGCTTATAATAAACAGAACGTTATTATCTGTTGGTGTGGATGCTAATATAGCTATCGTTATAATTATCATTCTTAACTTGAGTGTTTAAAACAGTGGACGTCAAATCTGCAGTGTGCACTTATAATAAACAATATTGACTGTTGATGTGGACGCTAATATAGTTACGGTTATAGTTATCGCTCTTATCATTTTTAAAAAGCTCGAGAATTTAATGCAGCAAGTGACGAAACTGCAGTGCATGCTTATAATAAACAGAATCTTATCATCTTTTGGTGTGGACGCTAATATAGTTATCGTTCTTAAAATCCTTGAGCATTTAAAGTGGCAGCCGACAAAACTGCAGCGCACACTTATAATAAACAGAATGCTACCGTCTGTTGATGTAGACGCTAATAGAGTTATCGTTCTTGTTATTGTTTTTAAAAAAGCTTGAGAATTTAACAAAACTACAGTGCACGCTTATAATAAACAGAATGTTATCGTCTGTTGGTGTTAGGGCTGCACGATATTGGAAAAAACTCACATTGCGCTATTTTTTTTTTCTGTGATATACAGTATATTGCGATATAAAAAAAAATCAGATGACTGCAATAGCTCTATTTGGAAAAAAAATAATCAATGATTGGGGTGATTTTGTAGGTGAGTAAATCAGTATAGGAAATAAACAAATTACAAGCATAGATAAATAACAGAACAAAGATACAAATGAAATAAGCAGTGCTTTATATTTTTCAGGTAAGTCTAACAGTATTCAGGTACAGAAATTGAATAATCAAA